AAAATTATATATTTGATTATTAGTGAACCAGTTCTTCGACTGTTTATGCCATGACTGTAAGAGAAATGGAAAACATTATTGCTGTCAGTCGTTGTCCACTGTGGTTCCTCACGGGCTTCATTTTTAATACTGTTTAAAAGGCATGCACTAGTGTGCCTTTTTAATGTTTGCCACGTAGCTAATATAGAATATAGTTTTTTCTAGTCTTTTTACAAAACAATTTTGTTTTTCTTTTCTTCTGAAAGATGAGTAGCAGTTGACCTTAGGATCATGAGAAACTCTAATCACCTTCCTATGGGAAGCCTCTTTTTACACCCTGTCATTAGATTCAACTTGAATGCAGTTCCAGTGATGGAGGAGAGATTTATTGCTGACCAAGTAGGGATAAAATTATGATCATGTAATCTCTGTACAGTTTTGTTTGTATGTTAGCTGGACTTGTTATTGGAGGTAAAGTAGCTTGTTTGTTGGAAATTTCTGCTACTGGTAGCAGTGCTGTAATATCGACGAATAACTTAAAATTTTGCTTCGTCCGGCTCACATTCGATCCCACAATCCATCACTTGTGAGTCTAGCACCCTATCGGCTGAGTGACCCGGAATGGCGTCACTATAAAGCATTGTCATCGTGTCTGGTGCCAACTTGGGCAAAACTTTTTCTCGCGAGATGAAATCATTTATTGTGATTGTTTTTTTACTGCTACTCGTAGAACTAGGGGAAAGACGGATTTCGGTCCGTCACGCCATGGAATGGGATGTGCTCGAAAATTCTAGGTCATATATTATGTGTTTTGATCTATGCTAATTAATTTGATCGTATAATAACGAATTTTTTTACATTTGCTTTAGATGTGCCACCACCTTCATTAAATCAGCCTCCCTTTGGGCATCCACCACCGCCTGGAATAGGCTTCCCAATGCAGTTTGGATATCCTCCGCCTAGTCGGCCGGTTCTGCCACCAAGGTAAAATAAATGTTTTTTCATAACATCAGCAGGTTATCATGTCTGCTGATAAAAATGAGTATTTATCGTGTGTTAGGAGGGGCGTGTCACTACTTCTGCATTTCATCTTCGTTGAAAATTTGTGTCACTTTTTAATGAATGATTAAAAAGTTCGTTGCAGTGCTATCAGAGTGGTTTTTTGAACGTTATGTATGCCAGTGCATTAAAGGTACACATACCTACAGGTGCCTTCATTTCTTTTTCCTTCATATCGTAGTATCTGTTGAAAGATGCAAGATGAGTGCCATGGTCAAGATTCAGGTCCGTAATCTTTCCCCTGTCGATTTCATCAAGTTAGCTCTTTCGTCGTCTGCCTCACACAAGTTTTCTGTGTAAATTCTTATCGAAAAGACGATGACAGCTGTTAATTACAGAGGCTACGCCGGGTTCGAACCGATGCCACGTGATGAAGCTCGCAGTCCTGCTTCATACTCAGACAAAAGCAGGTAAGTACGCGCCTTCGTGCAGTTTCGTCTGTGGTAATCGACTGATGATCTGCTCTTTAAGCGACGGTGATGAACGCGATCGTTACGAACGCCATCGTCATCGAGAATATCGTCATCGCCGCTCTCGATCTCCCTACGATGTTCGCAACAGCCACGGCAGGTTCCGAGAGAGGGAGCGTTACCGTTCTCATCATCGATCCAAGTCACCTGTTGAGCGGATACCACCGATGCATTACGGTCGAGAGGAAAAGGAGTTTGAAGAGAAGGAACGACGGACTGAAGAAAAGGAGAGGCGACGAAGGTCTGACGACGAGGAGGGCCACAAGCGCAAAAGAAGGCAAGTATACATCAGAGTTACGTTGCTGACAATTCGGTGAAGGGAATTCGCTTTTTTAGTTGCAATGCATTAGGAATTATTTTGCTGTGCAAAAATATACAGGTTGAGTATGTAAATCTGACGGTTATAAATAGTTTACTTACTGGTCAATCACCTTTTCTACTGAGGCATAGACAACAGTCTTTGATCCTGCCTCAAAGCACTGTTTTGTAGATGCTGTTTTTTAGTTGATATTTCGTAGCTGGTTGAACCTGTAGTTGTATTTATGTAACAGGCAATATTTCTATTGTAGAATGGTGAAACTGAATACTGCCATAGTCAGCTACTGTTCTGATTCGCATTTGTTGGCTTTAATTTTAGTTGTGTAAATGGTCTAGTGCGGGTTTGAACTGATGGAAATAAAATATTCTTCCTCTGTTCAGAATTTCTCAAAAAATGCACCAGATATTATCGCAGACTGCCAAGCTATAAACCGTATTTTAGTAAAGCTTGTGATATTATTTTTAACAACAGTAAACATTGTTTCGATGGTTTACTCCGTTAAGTTAATTATTTATAATTTATAGAAAGAGAGAAGAGTCGCGCGAAGAAAGCAAAAAAGAACGTGATTCGAAGAAGAACAGAGACAAGGAAGAAAAGTCTGAATCGGGGAGCTCCAAAAGGCACAGACGCAAGGAATCGTCCAGTCGAGTTGATACCGACGCTGAATCGTCAAAATTGTAGTGCGAAGGTGTTTGAAATGAAAAGCGATTGGCCATCATCTGGCAGTTCTTATTTTTGTTCATGCTGTGGTTGTTGCGAGCAAATTCAGTTGTATATTTGGATATTCTGAATTTTGGTATTGTTTATTATTTCGATCTATTCTTTGATTTTAGCAGCTCTGAATGAGAATAAGAATTACGCCGCTGCATTCTTGTACCGTTTTTTTTGCAGTTGTATTATCCATTACTTCATATCATTATTTGATCGTCATGATCCATCATCTGTCCATTTGATAGAAAAGATGCAGGAGATATCTCACTCTAGTGAACACAAGAATTGCTGACGCTTTCAGAAACTGCTATTCCTTGCCGATAGTTTTTTCATAATTACGTTACGTGATGAAGATTCCCATATGAGATGACGTCAACCTGTTCGGATGTGCATACATCATTCATACATAGAAGGTGTGAGAAACACTATTAAGACAAGAGCGTTATTTTCATAGATTTTGCGCGAAATGACGAAGAGAAAACCAGGAATGGACTGCATTTTCTCGAAAAAGACAGTGGTTTCGTACTTGCCGAGTAATGATGCCTCTGCCAATAAATGAATTTTGTGATAATAATAAAGACAAATTTTGTGATAATAATAAAGACAAATCATGACAAGAATCAGCGCCGCATAAAACTATGTGAACAACGTCGAAAATCGTCAAAGAACCAAAAGATTAAATTGTACATAATTTCCTGTGGGCTAGAGAAATGTGAATGATACGTGATCGTAGGCTTTGGCATTACCTAATCAAGACCTTTCGCATGCCATAGAGGCGTTACTCGTTTCTCGGATGGTTGCATCGAATCACTCCGGATGGAATTTTGAGCTCCAGGTAGTTACCCGTTGATAAACAAATTTGTCGCCCCTCCTAAATATGAAATCTTCTCCGCTGAACGTCTTCTATCTGTGCACTGTCCCAAATCAGTCACTGTCGAACGGTTCGCAAGCCAAGGTGTCTTAAACTACGTGTTCAAAAGGTTTTCGAGCATCTTCATACATCAGCCTTTCAAAATGGCTTTATTTCTGTCGTTGTGTCCGGGATCGCAATTTTTCGTTAAAAACTTGACATCGAGGGCCACAGACAATGGGAAGTTGATGGATGACTTGAGAGCATATAGCTTCACATTTTTCAGTTCTTTCATTATCACTGCATGCTAGCTTAACTTTTTTCGTAAGAAATACAAATATCATCTGTTGCTGTGTTTAGCTAAAAATATTTTTATATTTTGCATAGATTAACTTCGTGGACTATCAACGTTGTATTTGACATAATTCTATTGTACAGACATTGGAAGCATAAGAAATTGACGAAGAATACATTCGAACCGTATTACAAGTATCCTACAGACACTGCAGAATAATTCTGTCGTTCGAATACTCAACTGAAATACGTGTTTGCAAGGGTTGTTTCTCATGAAGACATCATATCGTCCAAATAGTACACGACATATTTTGAATCAGCATTCGGCAACTTGCATTGAATAAAGTCCACAATTGCTTGTCAGCTGCTGATGTGGGAGCTGAAACTTGGAAGGTAAAAGAATGGGTGCCAGCACAGCCATCGGTGGTAAATGCTTCCTCTATCGACAATGGGAACAATGTTTTACACCAAAATCCTAAAAACTTATATGAACGGATGTCATAAATCTTAACCTGCCAGTTTTGCAGTACATCTAAAGGTGATTGCAAAACAACCTCATTCATGCTTAATACTGCAGCGAACATCTACCTAATATTGTGCTAATATTTTCGCTGTTTCGACGCTGAATCCCACAAAAGAACCACTCTAATGGTGTAACACTGTACTTCATTTTATGGTGATCTGTAAGGTAAAACTGTTTATTGCATAAACGTAGGGCCATTTTAAAGAAATTTGTACTCTGAGGCTTATGGAGTTAGACGCAAATTAAGAACTGCGGGAAATATAAATATCAGCTAAGGACCATCAGGCTCTTGTTGAAAAATGTCCAAGAGATGGGAGTCGAAACTTTTGCTGTGGTCTATCAATGGACAGATCAGATGTTTTCCTATTTAACCGCTTTATGCTGTATACTAAAGGCAATGCTTGACGTAATTAGTGCTGTAAATTTAGTTTTCCTTCAATTAGCTAGCGCTGACCTTTAGTTATCTTGACATAATCTGTTTGCCGCGTTTTTCAAATCATAGAGAGATGAAATAGATCGTCAAAAACCAAATTTTTCGTCGTACGCTAGGGATCGATCAATGACAGATTTTCTGGCGCGACTGACACGACACGATTTATTTTCAGAGCAGCTGGGCTGTGTCTTCACGGTGCTATCGAAATGGCTTCGTTTTACCCATGGATTTTGCCAAAACAAGTTCCGATTAGACAAAGCAATTGAAATGTTTTCTTTTCCGAACAAAGAGCAAAGCGACTAAATGATGGTTGATATTTCAGTTGACTTGTATCAATTTTCAAGATTTTACGTGATATAACTCATAATACTAACAATGAAATTCACACAGTATCTTCATTTAAGCAATGTGGAAATGAAATGAATGTAAATGAATTTTATTCTGCCGCCAAAATGACATGTAAGTTATGCGCCTGTGGCCCAATTGCCAGGTCAATTGCATTCGTTTCGTTGACAGTGCGCATTCGCATCAAACCATGAACAAAACTGCCAGTTTCGACTTGAGTTTGTAGCTCAATTGCTTGACATTACTTCATTATCAGATTATGCTTTTATTTTAGATGAACGACTATTAAATATTGCTCAATTGACTGACCATTGTTTTGTCACTACTGTTGGCCAGGAACAATGTAATGTCAAGGGCGAGCGTAATTACTTACAACGCATTCTCAAACTGGCATAAGCTCCAAATTCGAACACGAGCTATTTTTGGCTGTATGCTGCCGTTGACCGAATTAAAGCAGCTGACACGGGGGCATGCGAACAAAGCGTTGATTGGTTTCATTGGCGTTTGTTTATTCATTGAGTGGCAAGTGCTCCTGATGATCAACAAGCGCTGCAGCCACCAAATGATCTGATCGAAATAGGTCGTCGCAAATTGTGCGAAGCTTAACTTTGAAATGAAGCAACGTAGACAAAAATTTTTCCGGCCAAATAAGGAATAAACTAAATGGCCAAAAGATGAATTGATTTGCATGAGATATGTTTTAAATTCGTAATAATTAAACAACACGCATTCAAATGCACAAACTAGTGCGTAGCATATAGATTAGTGAACACATGAGGATTTTGGAAAGGTAGTCATATCTCGAAGCAACTACTATGGGATATCTGGAATTTCATATGCTATACGATGCTAATAACAATAAGTCTTCTACCTCTCTGAACAGGTTGCCTTTTCTTCCGTTTTTCGTGCTTCGGTTGCTTCAATTGCTTTGCGCTTTCTCTATATTGGTTCTTTGGTTGCAGTAACAGTCACGGTTTTCATTTGCACGTCTTCTTTTCCCGAAGACATACGCATCCTGACAAAGTAAACCAGCATCTGATAGCATAGAAGTATTTAATAAATGACCATTTGCTTAACCTTAAAAGTGTGCTACAGCTTTTTAAAATTTTTTGTCCTGTTTGTGATGACTGAAGCTTCCGCTCGCCTGGTCAAGAAACTGAATGAAACGTGCTAAACTTCGATAATAGAGCAGCAATATGAAAGAAATTTGTCATGTGCATAACTGTTTGCGGGTATTAAAACAAATTCCGCAAATCTATGAGCGTTTATGAATGAAGCTGTCATATATGCATATTTTTAAGCGGCAAGTGCACTCGGTTCCGAAAAATATTTTGGTATAGCTTCGTCAGCATAATCATCATTAAATGACTGAATGTAAATTAGAAGCGTAGAAGCTATTCTTTGTTTTCCGTCGCCACGCTGACCAAGTATTTGACTATCGCTTCCTCTGGCGACCGACGGGACATCTGTGATCCGATTGAGTCACGGTCATCATTTGTTGAGCTAATTCTGCTCAGAAGACACGTGCGGTAACATGACTTTCAGCCATTTTCCTCAGTACGTCAACTCAATTCAAGTTTACTACCTTGAGCAGCGTAAGCCGCCAACAGAACCGGGTGGTCTTTTCACAATCTAGAATTGGAAACTATATACGGATATGCCTTCCATAACCAGGCCAAAATTATTATTAATGATTATTACCCATTCATGCTTGAAGTTTGTTTGATCTCGGTCCTATTTTTACCTAAAAACTATTCACTACGTATTTTATCCTTTGCAGTTATCATTGAAGCCGTTGCTGCATTACGACATTCATGTAGTAGTGTATAATTGTGCATCAATTCATAAAACATTATTCGCGATCATTAGTTGATTATCTCAAAGGAAAAAAAAGATATGGTATAATCAATGGAGCAGGCAGTCAAATGCCATTGTTTCGCTTGCTAGTCACAATCGCTTCATTGGCAGTTCTGTATACAGCACGCTGTCCGTTTTAGTTGAATAATATCATCCTCCTATTTATTTTATGTACTCTGGTCTAAATACGGGAAAAGCGAAAAAACATCTCGCTCTTATTACAATGGCTAACTCTGAACTTTAAATTAAGAAATCAAACATTGGGAAAGATATATATGATTTAGAATATAATCAAGTTCTTGAAATTGGCGTAATATATTATACATGGATCAAAATATTGGAAATTAATTCACACATTTTCGGCGTGGAGGTACAGTGCTTACGAGGTTGGCTTTGAATTTCGAGGTGCCGGGTTTGGATTTGCTCAAGAGACAACCCTCGTCTTAACAACAAATTTCCTTGAGCAAGAGGTTAGACATATCTTCCTTCGGAGCAACACGCTGAGAAGGAATATTAAGTTTGTCCCTTGCGATAAATTCTAGCAAATGATATTCGCGTTAGACAGAATGGGTGAGGCTCTCGGCCAGGCTATCCGATGCCAACTTCCAATGCTGCTGTGCTTCGCTTTGAGCCACATGATAGCTGATTTTAGCAATTAGCACAAAGTG